TCACATGTTATTGTGTTATATTATATAATAATAATAATAATAATAATAATAATAATATCTCAAATCAGAGCGTGAGAAACGAGGCAGACCTTGCCTTTTAATGTCGCATATGTCACGCATACGTTGCTAAAGCCTATTGACGTAGTTGCATTATATTGTCCATAACTACTTCTTTATATAATCTTGCAATCTGTGATAGCATGTGAATACTATCCAATTAACCATCATGTACATATAATAAATAGGCCGCGTTGCATAGTAATGCCGTATTATTTTATCTCAACCTCGGCGAACTATGCGCAACGATCGGTGAAGGGTTAAGCGTGGCAACATCAATCCTTAACCTTTTAATACTATCGTATCGGTCGGAGTCGGTCGATTGGTAGCCCCAATACAGGATAACTATCCACTCATCGTCCAGCGAAACAATCTCCCGACAAGCCACCTACGGTTCTTTCAGCGTGGTCGAGACACGCACGAGAACAAATTGGGATCCGCCGGTTGTTTGACAAATTTCGTCTAGCGCCGCGGGAGAGTAGCCTCTAATATACCGATTATCTCTCTTTTTCTCTTTCTCTTTCTCTCGCTGCAGCAGCCCCTCCATCACGACGGGCCGTCTCGTTTCATCACCACCAGACCTAGTTGGTCCGCCACGTAGTCGTCAAGCAACGTCGGTTTGCGCTCTCAGGTATTCGTTGCACGAATACACTCCTGCCCCTAGCTCGGATACAGCCGCGCGGCTCATCGTCCACGAATACATCCGCGCGCAACGGGGAAATGTTTGTACTGGAGCGTGGAGAGTATCTATACACCACTCTCGCGGGGAGAGATGGGTGGTAGGACGAGAGAGGCCTACCTCCGCGCGCAGAGAGGAAGGTACCGCTATCGCCCTCTGACCTCTCGAAGCGAGCGAACGAGGCCTCCTTCCACCGGCACCGGTAATTTTGCCTTCGATCCCCGGCTTCCTGGTGCTACCCAGATCTAGATCATCGAAAATCTGACTCGTCGTGATGTCTCGTTTTTATCCCGGCGTGCAGTCGCGTCGCACGAAGATCATTCTTGACGCGTCTTTCGAATTAGTGGCTCGAGACGTATCGCTTAACATTAATTAAAGAGATTACATATTTTAATATGTAAATCGAGTGACATTTTATCGCTTAATAAATTTTACCGTTAAACAAAAAAATTTTTTTATGTAAAAGTCATGTTTTTTGATACACATAACATCAAACACAAAAAATTTGTTGATGCAAAAGTGTTTAGCAAAAATAATATGTATATTCGGAGCAATATATCTTCTATATTATATATTTTAAAATTTATAAAATTTATAAAATTTATAGAATATTCTTCTGTCTCTTTTTATCAAAATTAATAATTTATATTAAGCATTTAATATATAAATATATATTAACAGATAATATATATATTAGATTAATGTATATTACGATAATATTTATCATTCTCTTATATATAGAACATAATTGTCCCCTAATTATATAAAGAACGCAGCGGACGATATCAAAGTAGTCGAAACAGGATCCGCAAACAGGCTTTTAAAAATATCTTATAAATGGGCGATAAGTTTCTTCCGACGCAAAGAATCTCTCGCAAATTAACGTCCAGAAAATTGCGATGCTGATACATTTACGAGATATACAAAGTATAATTATATATCTAATGTAAAGAAATAAAGCAATTTTTCGCTTAATTGCCTAATATTTTGTTTTCTTACGTTCTTTTTACTGCTTAATTTAAATTAATATTGCGCTTAACAGCCGCATTATGCACGATCTTAATCGTTTATCGTATCTTAACGGTAAACGATCGTATGCTGAAAACGCCGACAGTTACCAATTATTATCCACTGGAATTGCAGAAGGCATCTTACGTGGGAAAAAAGCTTGGCTTGAATATAAGTATCGTTAAACAGATTCAGTCGCGTCCTAACACGAGGAGCGAAACTGTCACGGTGCAACAAAAAGTTAAGGCATTAGATGAATTTGAAACAAGAAACCGTTCTTAGGAGAAAATTATTTAAATTGCCGATGAACCCTAAGACTTTGGAGTGAGTACTCTGCTCTCGGCGTATTGTAACAAGTACGTAGAGAGGAGCTACCTACATATGAGAAGAGTCGAATGACTGATGTAGAAAATAACTTCGTGGGACCGTCTTGTACACGATGAAGATTTCTCCGCAATGTTTGTAAGCAGTGCGTCCACTTAAAAGCGGAGAGAAATAAGTTTGACAGTGTAATGTATTTGGGTCAGGACACGAGGACGAGAGAAAAGAAAGAGAGGCAAAGACGGTCTCATCCTGCCGCGAAGAACATTCCATGCATCCTCTTAAGTACATTCCCCTGAATGCACATGACGTGTGCAGGTTCTGAGACATAACGGTCATTGATGGAACCGGAAATAAGGGGTACCCATTGCGGCGCGCTATCGTGGAAAGATCACAGATTACAGTGATTAATCCTTAAGCGGACACGCGACACTTAATTTGATTACGGGCTATTCTTCGAGCACTGCTGCCATTGTTTAAGCTCGCACTCGTGAGTTTCTCGCGTAAATACACCACAGCTTACGACAGCAAGACAAAGCGCTCTGAGATTAATCTGAATGCGTGTAATTATAGAACATTGTTGGATTCTTTGAAATTTGTTGTTTGCACAGTCTTACTTAAGAACTTGTAACACTGGCGTGTCACTGTTCTTAGTTGACATTTGCCATAGCAGAAAATAATATAGTCAAAATTTCGAATTTTTTTTCTCACTTTTTTTCTTGCGATATTTTTTCACTTCTTATTTGCTTAAATACGTGACAATGTTAAAAAATGGAAAAACGATTAAAAAACATTGAAAAATACATTTAAATGAATTTTAATATTAATAAATAACATCGGGCAAAAAAACTATGATAGTAACAGATCAATAGTGTTGCATACTTTTTTTGTACCTTACTCGTTGTCTGCTTGGACAAATGTAAAAATTGTACAAAAGAAAAAAATATAAAAATTAAAAAGCAATACAGAAGTGAGACTATAATAATTTCTTAGTTGATTGTGACAAAAATAATATGAGACAAAACAGAATCTCTTTACAAGTATCTTATGAATACGAGTACTTAAAGCGCGATAAGTTTCTTCCGGCATAAAGAACCTGCGGCAAATTAACGTCCTACTCGTTCGATCGTTATTTCCGGTCATTCGACTACTGCCGCGATTATTGTCGCGAACTCGAAGCAGCTCAGATTCCCAGGCACGCCTTTGTAAAGAAAGAACGAGTGAAGTCGATGAGAACAAACAATTCTGATAGTTGAGTTGCACAATTTAAAGACGTTTTATTGCCGAGGGAAAAGAGGTAATTGCTCAAGGAAGCGAGAGGATCGTCACGATTACAAAGTACGAGACGAAACAGACGAGCGATGTGTCGAGGATTTCTCTAAAACGCGGGCATTGTGGATCTCAATCGTGGTCGATAGCTCGTGAAAGAAGAAGAAACGGGCAGCTCGGAGAGCGAGAGAAGAGAGCAGGACCGGTAAAGATACATCCGTTCGTTTTAATCGCTAATCACCAATTATCCGAGAAGCGTCCAGCGCCCAAAATCCCCAGAAGCATTTTAACGAGCCGCTGTGTCGTCCGGGTCTGGAATTTTGCTTCGGCCCGAAGCCCCGACGGTTTCCACTGCGCTCTGGATGTGTATCTACAGTATTCGGGATATATCTCGCGTCCTGCTTCATGGATCCTGCTCGTCCATCCTGCTCACTCTACCCTTCCCCTATCTCGTTTCAAAACGACCATGCGTGCGTGTGCGCGCGCGTTCGTACCAATTAGCGCATACTTCGATGTTCGAGGCCTCGAGGTGGACCTCCTCGGTGTGCTGCTGGCGTCGAAATCTGCGGAATGGGATTCTCGTCTCAAACGGTCGAGAAGTCTCGTTGATTTGGAGGATTACTCATCGCTAAAGATTTATTCTCAAGCGAGGAGAATAATTTAATAGGCTTTATTTAAATAATTTAAAAGCAATAGGATTATCGCGCACGCACTTTTTATTTTAATTATAAGAGATATTACTGGATGTTTTTTTTTCAATCGTGAATTTTATGAGAGATATTTGAAATGTATTCTTCTGTTTAGCAAAATTCTTGATTATCAGAAGCTGCCTCTTATTCTTTTTTCTTCTTGCTTCTCAAATCAACGAGACTTAATCGCCGTCAATTTAGAGCGCTGGGAGCAGGCAAATCGCGCGTTTCACAGGTACACACGAAGCGTGTGGGCGTTCGTTCGTCGAATTACTCTTCCTAATGAGGAATACGGAGAGTATGAATTTGCGAGGGTGTCGTGTCTTCCTCGCAGGTTTTCGTAACGGTTCTAGCGGCGTCTTTCGCGCTGTCGAGTTTAAGTATACACCACTGTGGGAGCTAAGTAATAACTGCCAATGGAATTAGAAACGCCGAAGAGAGTCGCGCGGATAGTGGATGGGATGTACGTGACTGTACGTTGATAATTTTTTTTCTCTCCATCCGATGATGGTACATGAGCGCACACGCGGAAGTGAAAGAGGCTGCGCGAGACGGTATTTAAAATCCATCTAGGGAATGCGTTAAGAGAATATTTTGTACGCAACGTCGATTGAATTAATCTCCTTCGATCGTTATCTCGCACGTCTCCTTCACCAATTTGTTCCGTGCATAAAATTTGTTGAAACGATCGGCCACACCACGTGTTGGCAGCACGATAACACGAAACGACTCAAATTAATTGGCGATTATCGCATTGATATAAACCGTGTCTCGGCTGTTTCTTTCAACCTGTCAACCATTTGCGGCACTTTTAAAACCTCTAAATTTTTAGTATAAAATTCTACAGATTATTTTGCACAATATTTCTAAATATGTTTGCTATTAAATTTTTTTAGATACCGACGGAAATATTTACAATTCGAATCTAATCCTAATCACAAATACGATTTAACTCCCCGCGAGAAGCGCCTCGAATCATGTCTTGCTTTGGCGGCCACGAAGAGCAGATCTATCTGATCGAGATACTGATCGATAAATTGACGTTAACGCCCAATAAAGTCAAAGATATCGGCGAGCATCCTATCGTGATCAAGATCAAACTCTTAGATTTACCTGTATTCGAGATCACGCGCGACGATTCGGACGCGTCGAAACGCGATCAGGATATACGTTTCATGATCGGCAAATGCCGCATGTGCGTAAAGCGACCGCGGGATCTGGTCCAAGGACTTCGCTCGACGAGCATGAAGGTCGGCGTGTTTCGCGCGGGTGACACTTATCCTACAGCGGAGACCGAATTAACCCTACCGGGTTGCCTTTGCGACCAGATCGCCATGATTAGCAACGATCCCGATAATCAGCCGAAGCCATTCACGGTGAAGGGCGGCTTTCACCTCTTGGATCCAGGCGAAAATCCGTCCGGCACTCTGCACATGGAGCTTACTATCGCGTGTCTCGGACGTACTTTTGCGACGCAGTACGAGTTGCGCCCGAAATCACTCGCTTCCGGCGAGCAGGATAAGGAACGAGAGATCTATGTAAAGCGATTCGTATCGCCCGAGCTGCTCGAGGAAAAAATCCCCAAGGACGTAGAGATCACTCCGCCAAAAATTGCCAAAAAACCACCAAAAGATAAAAAGAAAAAGAAAGATAAAAAGAAAAAGAAAGGTAAAAAGAAGTAAGGCAAAAAGAGAACTCTGCAAATGTTTTCCAATAAGATGTTTGAGCTCTGAAGTAAGATTCTCTACATTTATCAAGTTATTATTACTCTGAATTTATCGCTATGGCAACTATCTGACAATTGGAAACGTCAATTTACTGGTTCGAAGCTTGACACTCACGCGGAGAGATCATTTGATTTCCGGCTCAAAACGCTTGCAAAACTAATGGCGCGATTTGCACAAGTACACCGTTAACGTCGATCCAGAATCGCTTTCCAAATTTACCGTGTCGCTAATAATATATATTTGTAAAATTTTGCGCTCGATCCACCCCAAAATGGCGTTGAAGAAGAAAAAGACACCAAAGTTTGAGGAAGAACAATTGTACATGCTTGAAATTCTCGTTGATGATCTAAATTTATGCCCTGAGAAAATTATCAATAATAAAAAATACGATCTGATGATACGTGTAGGCTTCATCGATCTCGCGCCTGTCGATATCGTCGCCGAAGATTCAATCGAGGTTAAAAGCGGAAAAAGTAAGAATAAAGAAAATCGATTGTTTGGTGAAAACATCAACTACGAGGGTAAGACGTGTCTGTTCGTCCGTACACCGAGCAATTTAATGCAATCTGTGAAATTGACTCCTTTAAGTCTCGAAGTGTATCGAATTCTGGACGGTAAGAAGCATAATTTGCGAGATGACACCAATCAGATCCTTCTCTGCGCGGCAACGGCATTTCTGCCTGGATGTTTCCACGATCGAGTAGCTGCGGCCGAAAACAAGCTAGACGGGTTATCGAAACCATACACGTTGACGGAGGCTTACACATTGACCGACGAGGAAGGAAGTCCCTGTGGATCTATATCGATGTACTTGAGACTATCGTGCTTCGGAAGCTCGATTATCAATCATTTGACGCTCAATGAAAAATCGTTCATATTACAAGGATTTCCTTTCGGTTCGAAATTTCATTGCACAAATTCATCGGATAAAAACGTAAACGACGCGGAGAATGAAACGAAATGCGACGATAACGTATTTTCATTACTGAAAATTTTGAATCCTACGTGTACAAAATTACGCGACCAAAAATATCGTACGGATAAGGATTCCGTATTAATGAGACCGGAATCGCCGCCTCGCGTATCGATAGATCAGCCAGGATTTGAGAAACTAACGAGCGCCGAGAAACTGAACGATCACAAGTACCGCAGTTTGATTTACGAGACCTATCCCGACGAACCTACTTGTTCCTGTCTACCGACAGATCAATCGACACATCCTATGATATGTCGTTCCGGATGCGCTCGCACTTGTTGCATGGCTTTGAGAAATCCTGATATTCTCAAAGATAATAGCGACAACGTTCCATCGCTCGCTACGCTCACTCACTGCGTCGATAATTTGCATTTGAAATCAGCTACGGAACTGAACGCGAACGCTACGAGGATGAGAGGTGGCGTGGACAGAGAAGATGATTATTTAAACAGCAAGATAATATGGGACGACGAGTGTACGTCCTGCGAGAATAATATCGATTTTCATGCGAAAGATCGTATGAAGGGCGGAAGTAATCATGGTTTGTCGGTAAACGCGACTTCCGAAACAACAACTACTCTCTTATATCAGAATGGTGCGAAAACGAGTGCTGGTTCGCCATGCAATTTCCGTCCGAGAACTGCGGATGGACTCAAGGCGGCAGGTTGCATTTGTCCGGGGAAAGATCTGTCGTCTTGGAGAACAGGCACGTCCAATTGTACGAAGAAGCCATGCGTAGGCGCAGATTGCATGATACGAGCTTTCAAGGAGGCCCAGGAATTCGTGGACTCTCTTAACAAGGTGCAAGGTTTGGCGGGCCTCGGCCTGATGGATCCTTCGGAGAGTCCTTATTTCGGCAGAGATATAGACAAAGATTATGCCGTTAAAGAAACACCGAGCGAGAAAAAACGAGGATATCCTGTCTCGACGTCGCCGGCATTGCCTACTGTACAATGTACTGCTCCTTGCAATACGCAATTTAGTAAACCTGTCGTCAGCAGTGCTCTTATACCTTACGCTATTTCCACTCCCACGACGATAGCAGTTCCGGGACGCACAGGTGTCGTGCGCGAAGCGATACCAACATTACCGGAAGCGACGCTAGTCCCGATCGCCGTCAAACCGAAGAAAAAGGAGGAGAGAAAAGAAGAAAAATCGGAAAAGCAAAAAGAACTGGATATTGCGACCTCTGTACCGCCGGACGTCGGCGTTGGTCCTTGTGGTGAACCAAAATGCAAATCTCGCCGAAAGACGCCCGAAAACAGTCGCGCAGTGTCGCGCGAAACCAACGAATCACAGAAAAACGCTACGATATATGTAAAACCGCCGAGCACGCACATCGTGAAAAGTAAATCCAGTGAAAAAAGACGACATTTGAAGAGTAAACCGGGTCCTGGCGGCGATCGCGATATCCGGAGAGGTCCCATCAGGATCAGCAAAGAAGTAATGCGTTACGTTTACTCGATTGGCGAAGTTTACCCCGGAATTAATTACGGCCACAAGACTTGCCTCAATCCGCGATTCAGAATACCGGCGAACATGGGCTGGTTGTGGAACACGAGCGACATGGTAGGCAAACTCAAGCCGCGGATCGGTTGGAAGCCTGGTGCAATCGCCCGCCGCGTGAACGAATTATTGAAAGAGGCGAAGGGCACTGTTCTAGACAGTCCATCCGTCCTGGACAGTCGACTAAGAATAACGCCGTCGCGCACCGGTTTACGACGAGGTAAAGTGTTCAAGACCATGAGCTACACAACGCTGGCAAAGAAAGAGGGCGAGGAAGAGACGGAACCGCCGCCGACTCTGCATATCCATCGAAAAGACGGCACGTACTACGTGACGATGTATCCGATCAGGCAGGAGGCCGCAGACGCGACGCACCTCGAGGAGCCGATAAAACCTACTGCAATTCAAGATAGCGCGCAACAGGGACGACGCTTCCGTCGCGTCGAGCTCCACGGCGTCGGACATGGAGATCGAGTTCTCACCACCGGCGGCAGTCAACAGGTATCGCAGAAAACCCGATGTGATTCACGTGGACACCCAGGTTAGGCAGCAGGAGATCCTCGATGCATTCAAGTCGATGGACGACGTGCCGAAAAAGAAGGAAAGAAAGGGCAAGAGGGGAAAAAAGTAACCGTCTCCCCCCAGCTCATTATCCCGGCGTGATCGTGAAAGAGAAGCAGCTTTATCAGAGGTTCGTATCTTACTAAAAATTTAAGTGCAGTGCACGCTACGCGGTCGGTTACATTATATCGATCCTGATTTTATACGGCACGTTAAATTCGATTACGTGTAACCCGTATTTTTCATACGTCCAATCAACTAATTATGAAAATAATTTGTCAAGAAAAGAAAAGATGAAGCGATTACATTGCTGTAAATTTTAATATTTTGACACTAGCGTAATCAATATGATTTGAAGACAGAAAATATTCTGAGCTTGATTTATATAATATACGTATGTTTATATATATCTGTTTCATATCGTTTCTACTGTAATAAACCATATCGTATTAAATAATATTATCAGTGCGCAAAACGTAGCAATCAATATTACGCAAAAAGATTGCAATCAATATATTAAATTTATTAAACATTTTTAAGATTTAATCTATCAAATTATCAAAATTATCAAATATTATTCGTTATTAAGACTTACCAAGAAGATTCATTGTGTTGGAGTTGAAGAGGATGCGATGAAAGATGACAAGCTTTCTAAGCTCCATAAACTTTCTCCAAATGGAATTAATCAAGCCAAGGATCACAAAAACTCGATGTTCGAAGATATTAATTCTGATTTCACACAGCGTATTGAACTCCATTACATGTATAACCTGTATTTTTCATATACCCAATTAGCTAATTATGAAAATAATTTGTCGAGAAAAGAATTGAAAAGAAAAAGATTGACAGCAAATTTAATTGTTGATATTTTGTTTACGTATTGCATTGCATGAGTATGCACAAAATGTAACATTTAATATGGCGTCCGGAAAAATTTGAAATGACGGTTAAGTTTGACTAAACATATTCAAGATTACATTTGTTAATTATCAAATCTTACTTGCTAGGATACCTAAAGAACAGGATCTATTGCGTTGCTCGAGGAAGATACAGTGGAAAATAATAAGATTCATATAGTTTTTTTTCAAACTCACACAAGGTAATCAAGCCGAGGATCGCAAGAACTCGAGCATCTCAAGTGGCCGTGGAAAACACATTGTTGTGAATTCAACTACTACCAACTACTACGCGTTTGGTACTAGGCGCGCCATCTGCTCGAGATCACCTGCACACCTAAAATATACTGTCATTATCGATAAGAGTTAAAGAATCAACGCTCAAGCTATATTTCGTGTATTTTTACAAGAGAAAATGAATGTCACAGCACAGGATGAAAAGTACCAGATTATACGTAAACGAATGCTTGATTTGCACGATGTTCGTGTGGGAAAAGTTCCGCAAGATTCACCATGGATGAAAACTGTTCGTCTGCAATATTTGCAAGACGGCCGACGTAAAGAGTGGGACGTGATAAAGATTCACAACAGTGTGAGTATAATTGTTTTCAACACAAGTCGAAAGAAGCTGGTATTTGTCCGTCAGTTTCGGGCAGCAGTATATTATTCATTCCTACCGCAAAAACAAGACACAATTGATGTCGAGCGTTATCCCGCAACATTGGGGTTGTCCTTGGAGCTCTGTGCTGGTATCGTTGATAAGGACAAACCTCTCGTCGAGATAGCAAGAGATGAGTTGAAGGAAGAGTGCGGTTACGAAGCGCCCGCTTCGGCGTTTGAGCAAGTTGCTACATATTTGTGAGTTTCAAACACTATAACTTAATTACTATTTTATATAATCAATTATCATATCTGCCATAATAAATAAAATAAAAATGTCCAAAATATATGATTAAAAAAAGGTATTTTTACACTTTATAGATCTAGTGCTTCTGCCAGTGCAAAACAAACTCTTTTCTATGTAGAAGTCACAGATGACATGCGTACACAACCAGGTAAATTTAATTGTAAAAATTCTTTTTTAAAAATAATCTTTCTTATCTCTCTCTCTCTCTCTCAATATAATTTTAAAGAACATTATTTTTATATGACCAATAAATCACATTTTTAGTACTTATGCAGAAATTTCTTTTGCCCAATTTAAATCTTCCGTTACATTAAAGGTGGTGGTGACGAGTCTGAAGGTGAAGTCATTGAAGTGGTAGAAATGAGCATTCCAGAACTAAAGGATTATATGAAATCTAAGGAAATACAAAGTCCCTCCAGTTTCCTCTTTGGTATATCTTGGTTTTTTCTTAATAAATCTAAATACTGTTGATATATTTAAATTATATAAATATTTAAGCACAAGAATTTAAAATAGAATAAAAAAATACAAATAAGTCGTAAATAAAAAAATTAATGAAAAAATTATAACATTTTTAAAATAAAGTTTAAATTAATTAAAAGTAAAAATTATAATACTATCATTCAACGAAGTTTATTTACAAATAGAGCTTTTATACACAAGCAAGTACCAGATCATTGCATAAGTAAAGTTACGCAAAATTACAAGTACCAATATTCAATTAATATTCAATTCATCTTTTGTAAACTGAGAGCTAACCCATGCAAGACCCCATTTTAAATTTGTTAGTAGGAACTTTAGGGCCTTAGTCCATTGCTCTTCTGAATTAAATTGTATTCTGAAACAAAAAATATATCAAATAGAATGTTTCTTATATTATAAATGGGTTTCTCAGATATAAGGGAAGTTAAGGAAGTTGTATAAGAAGAGATGTCCAAGTTTATAAATGCTCAAACATACTTTATGGAGTAAGAGTTCCCTGTTGCAGAGTCTTCGATTTTTCCTCGATCCATTCTGTATGGCAGACAAAATCCACTATCTCCTTTTTCTACTTGTTCCTTAAATTGCTGTAAGCAATCCAGAAACGCCACCATAGCTGCGTCAAATTTTGTGTCCCATAAAAATTTGAATCCTCCGCTTCCGTACAATGGAAGCTCCTTGTTTTGATCCAGTGCTTCAATATAACTGTGATTGCCAAATGGTACTAAACGGAAACGTTTGAATGTTAGATTCATTTTGCGCGCAAGAGCTACTAGCAAAAGAGTCGTTTGTCCCCAAGCGGCGTTTATTTCGCTCCAATCCACTGGTGCACTCGGCAATCGTCCTAATCGAAATGAATTTATAGTTCCAAAGTGGCCCGAGTGCCAGATATGAAATGTGGCGTTAAAAACATTTGTTTTCTTCAACCTTTGAAGTTGTGCAGCTGCGTATGCTAGTTGGTTGTCCAAACTAGAAATTCGATTTTATGTTGTTATTGTTAATTTTTATTTATGAAAAAATATATATTTTAGATTCTTTTATTTACCTGCGACATTCATCTTCAGCTAACATGAGATCTCTTCGGTGCTTTGAATATTCTTTCCAATACCTGTCTTCTTCACTTTGCAATCTTTCTCTTTCCCTTTCTTGTTCCGCTATGGCGTTCTTGGTGGCTATTTCTTCTTTCCTCAATGCCTCCAATTCTCTTATCATTCTCTCTTCCTCAGCTTTTACATCTTGTAATTCCTTTGTAAGATTCTCCATTTCTACATCTTCATGTCCCTGATATTGTTGTTCCATTTCTAATCTCTTCAGATATTCATTATAATCTGACCATTCTCCTTCTGTCATTCTTAATTGCTGATCCATTAATAACAAAAGACTATCTGTACACTCATCGCAAAGTGGATGATCTGCTGAACTACTACTGCTCAGAATGTCAAATAATGTAGCTCGTACCTAGAAATATATATATAAACCAGGTCATAATATATTTATATATATATACATATTGTTTAAAATATCTTTCAAATTGCTATGTACCTTTAAATGATGACTTAAGCTTTCTGTTTCACCAGAATCACCCACCAACATAAATCCATTTGTACCATTTCCTGATTCAGTTAATCTGAATGGTGGAACTAAATGTTCTATACTATCACTCTGAGGTTCTAATTCTCCAACAACTTGCTGTTGTATAGGAACTACAATAAAATGACAATTATATAATTTGCTTGGTATTTTTTTATACTAGAGTTATATTAAGTGATTTTAACTTATATCTGTTTTTAGGTATTTTAGCACAATATAAAGATGTATAAAATAATTGAAATCGTATTACAATAACAATTCAATCGCATACACAATTATAAGAGGACATTGCTTCTTATTGCACTGGATGCTAAATATAACATAATAGATTAGATATATAATATGAAAGCCATTGTTTACATATATATACATATCTTCAACATTAATTTTGTACATTTTTAATAGCTTGTAATTGTCACAGAATTAATCAAGCTGCATTATTAATAATATTTTCAAAAACGCAGATTACTATATCATACATTAATCGATTAATGCATAAAGAAACATCAACGCGAAGTAGGACAATCGGCTCGATTTGCATATCAAACTACCAAGTATAAAATAGAAATTACCTACGTGAGAGTTCAGCCAGAGTGTGCTCTCCGAGGTGATCGAAACTAGAGTCTAGTTTCAGTGGCTGTAGACACCGTTGGCACGCGAAACTCACATTTGTCTTTAAATCTACCATTGTGTCGTTTATCGAAGAGAGTTGTTCACTGCACAACCTCTCCAAACGCGTTGTATTTACGAATACGCATATGCCACTGCTTATGACGCTTGAGCTCAGCTGATGGTGTTTCACCAAGCAACCATCAGTTGGCGCTGTTATAGCACGATTCTTTTGCATTTCGCATATTGGCAGAACTGATTAGCACAAGCTTATCTACGGTAGTTGTATTTTTTTATTCTGAATAGAAAAATTTTTCGTATTATACATTTTACGCGAGAATTATGTAAGAAAAACTAGATTAATGTAAGTAAGTATTAGCTAAATATTAGCATTTCTTTAGTATAGATTTATTTTTGCAATTTTTTATAAATATGTAGAATATCTTTTGTATAAATGTTTCAAGATTTCAATACTTCCTTTGAAATCAACAGATATATAATAGCAATTTTTCTCAGAGAAATTTATGATTATGAACGAAATAGAATCAATATATAAGAATAGAATCTATGTCATTTATTCTCTACTATTGATAATAATATTTATATCGATTAGTTGCATAACTTGGATTTCAAAATTTAAATGGGGTTATGTACATAAATGCGACTGAGGTAAATGTAAATGAGATAAATGTATGTGAATATATATATTTATTGATATTATGTCTATGATGAGACAAACTCAAAATAATTGATTTGACTGCTTGGATCGTTGTGCCACATTTTTCGATATTAGCTAGTCATGGTACGCATTGAGGCAATTTCTGCATATTACATAGTAGCTTTGTTTGTTTGTTTTTATAATCACAAAATTTTATTTAATGCTGTGGGTCTTTTGTAGTATTCATCGATAATGATAACACCTGAATTAAAGTATTCGAAGTATTTTTATATGGTTGCGTCACATTAATTATGTTTAGCATTTATGTTCAGTAAAAGATAAAATATTTATGTTATACATTGAATTAATAATGTGTAATGTTTAAAAATAATTTACAGAAAACTACTAACTTAAGAAGTGGCGGCTATCAAGTTTCTTTTGAAAAATCCAGAGGGTATTAGGTGAGTACTACACTCTACTGATGATAATTTAATATGATGATAACTATAATGATAAAACTGTTTTTTTAAATAAATTTATATATTTGAATGACGTTTTTATATATATAAAAACAATATTTGATAGATTATTATGAATTAAAATTATATAATTAGAAAGTTATAATATATAACATATATAAAACATATATAGTTTTTTATATTTAAATATTATCTAAAATTAAATTAAATATAATCTAAAATTTTATCAATATGTTATAATCATCTATATTCTCTGTTTTTGCATGCAAAAAAATTATTTTAATAAAATATTTTTTTGTTTAATTTAAACATTTTCTAGTAGTCTGAAAGGTATTTTATAATAATGAAAACTTACTATTGTTAAATTTTGCATAATTTAATGAAAAATTACATAGTATTTTTATTATTATAAATATGAATTCCAGAAATCTATGTTTAACTTTATATTTTATATGACATCCGAAGAAATTATGAATTACTCAATGACAAAGCACATAATCAAGTTTGATATTTATTTGACGGTCGGTAATTGCGCGAATTGCTATATATTATCATAAGTTATGTTAATGTCGATAACCGTGTGCGCGTTTTAAACGATATTTCGTTACGCATACATAAATATCAAGTAGCTGCCAAGGTCAACAGGTGGCAGCTCGTTTCTGTTTCTTACGTTTCCCGCGCATTGATCACCGGCATCCATTACGCGGTACGAACAACAATTGGTGATTTTCAAACGTAACCATACGAAGCTTTTGCGTGTGCAAACTTACTTCTCTAATAACGGTTACGACTCTCATTATTTTCTTGCCATTGCTGTCTACCATCGGTGAGTTATTATGCAAAAGCTTTCTGCCGCTCCGTGTGTTCGAGAAGCGCGACGAATCGCCAACTCACAAGTGCATCGTTCACTCGGAGTCTGTCTTCCTGATTCTCTCTCTCAGATGTTACGCTTAATAGTATAAAGCAAAAAGGTATTTAAAATAAATTGAATATTCAAGACCCTGGAACGATCATTATATCGCTAATAGCATTATATCGTCTAATAACAATATATTATTTAATAGTAACATTATCACGTAAAATATAAATTAGATTAGGTTAGGTTAATTGTTGCAATTAAATTTAAACAAAAGAAGTAATTCTAAATATGCGGTTACTTACACAATTTTTAGCTATTTCACGAAGTTAGATTTAATTAAAAGAATATCTCAAGCAATAGTCTATGATTTTTATTCACATTTGTGATTCTCAAGTATAGTTAGAAATAAAACATTAAAATGCATACTAACAAAAAATTTTTTTTTATCTGATAATGAATAGTAAACGACTTCAAAATATTTAATATGCATTACAATGTGTGTGCATAATGTTAAAATTATATTATTATGCAGCACTAGTTAATCATTGTATAAAATTTATCTCATTATCATTTTTGCTGACTGTATGTAATACTTGTTAAAAAAAACTAATGTAAATTGCATTAGGAAGTTAATTATTTATCGGGAGCGAGCCTCGCACGCCGATGCGAATGAGCAAAGATAAATTCGCGAGGGTACCCTTGCATTAGCGTGCATATTTGTCATGCATCGTGCACTCGAGCATTCTTGTAACGCCTCGCGGCTTGCAGTCTCAGGTTGCATCTGTGGTTGCATTGGAAAGCATGGAACACTGAGACGAACAAACTACATCCTGTAGTCTAATAATACGCTATATTTCCGCTTAGCAATGCAATGCAAATGGATGCTTGTGTTACTCTGGTAATTTGCTATTTCTATAAGCATTACGTGAACAAATTAATGTACTATTACTCTGGAACATTTAACATTTTATCGAACGTATATCAAAACATAGTATAACAATTTGCTATTTTTATTTAAGCCATAAAATATTTATATCTTGAAGAATTAATGTTATTCTGAAAAAGCACTAATTAAAATAATGATAATTACAACAGCATTTTGTAAAATCTACTCAGAAACAAATTTTAATTTATTGTTACTGCTGATTTTGCGCTATTGCAATTTGTTGATGAATTTATATCATCTTCTGTTTATCGAATTTTTAAAAAAATTATACTTTTTTTTAATTATTAGTGCTCCTTCGCTCTTTATGCAAATTATTTCATTATACGCAAGTTAAAATATTCATAGCAAAGAACATTGATATGCATAAACATAGATTAAGCATCAAACTGTGTGGAGCGGCGTCGCATCGGCACTCTGATTGCAATATTGTCGCGATGCACGAAATCACGCACGGAAAGCGGAGCTAAAGAGCACGAATGCGTGCGCTACACGTGCAACTTTGGAGAGGTATAGTTTGTTGGGTGAGGGATCGACGCGGAGTGAAGGGAAAGCCGAAGAAGGGTGGGCGGCGACCGCTTGAAACGGAGGAGTGCCATAGGGACCGACGCGAACGGAGTCCGTTGAGTTTGAGCTGAGCTGAGTGAAGCGCGGGCGTCACGACGACATCGGTTGGCATCGCGGCTGGCCTCCGCCAATCCGTCCCTCAGCGGCCATGTTGGCCGTGTACCTGGGGCGGAGCACTGAGTGCCTGTTCGTTCTCTCCATCCTTGTCACACGTTTCACGTTCGAACTCCTTTCGCCTTCTCCTCCACCTCCATCGCTTCCTCCTCTGCCTCCTGTGCCTCAGGACTTCGTCTTCTTCTTCTTCGTCTTCTTCTTCTTCTTCTTTCTTCTTCTCCTCTTCCTCTTCGTCTCTTCTCCTTCATCGCGTCGCGTTATCGCGCAATCCTCTCGCTCCGTTTCTGACTGCATCGCCGTAGATGCGCCCGATCGCAGGTTGCACCCGAACTGCACCTGCGACCGGTGAGGTAATGCCGTCCGATCGTGTGGCGTCCCGCTTTCAATGACAATACAGGGGGAGTTTAACTCCACTGCTAAGTTTAAGTAGTATATTTTCTTTTGCGATATTGATATAATTTCGGATTATACTGCAGTTTTATCTAGTTTCAAAAGATCTGAATTCGAGTTAAAGACTTCGTGGAATACATTGTATATTTATATCGAAGATGCAAGAAATATTTAATAGATATCCAGTAGTTCAAAAATTACATAACTCCAACTGTAAGATGGTAATTGTACATATATTAGAGACATACTTCTCTGTCAAAACAGATAATTCCGTATAATAGGAAGATGCACTCTCGCGAGAACGAACCTCTTCTTCTCAGTTCATCTCTCGCTCTCTCATTGCACAAGTCGGCTGATTTACGGCGCGCTTACTTCGCCGACGACGGGGTTTCGCGCATAGGAAAACGCAGTGTGGCAACGACAAGCGCGCGGCATTCGTTTCATTTTACGATTACGCGAATCGCGTGTAATTGCCGGGTCCGACCTGGCCGGCGGCCTTCAACTTCGCGGCGCGTCAACTGTCCCATAGATCTTTGTAACGGACGAAAGAGAGCCGGAATAATTGTACAGGCGATCGCCGCCGCTGCGCGAAGTGCAATTATAATACTGCCGTGGAGTTATGCGCAAGCTGTGGCCGACAACTTAGTCGGTCGCCGATTGCACTTCTGGCAATCTATCTAGAAACCTATTATTTCGCCGCTTACGAATCAATTAGCGTGATACAGGTGTATCATTCGCGATATCACGGGGACAAGCCTGCTCGCGGAGATTACCTGTCCAACTCATTAAAGCGGTTATAATTGCACAATGACCGCGAGCTCACCTCAAAATTAATTATCCACGACTCATACAAGTTATTAAATGAAATTAATTTTTTTGAGCCTGACAATTCACATAACTTTTTCTCACGCGATAGACATAAATTGCGATCACGGTTGATGCGAAAATTACATATTAAGAACTCTCTCGCCGCCGTTTTTCACGCGTTTTCGCTTTCTGGAAATATGTACGCATTGCACGATAACTTGAATTTATTACGCGATGATATGTAAAGTTAATTGTTTATGGCAGAGAATGATTTATCGCGTTCTATCTCTGCAACTGAAACAAATAAGAAGTAAACATTAAACATGTAAAATTTAGACTAGATAAAGAATTATTTTTTGCA